CCCCCCGGTGGAAAAGTTCCCTTTTGGAGACCAAAAATATTTTAAAAGACCGTAGGAAAATGCAAAATCAGCAATAAATCCAGTCTAACCAAACAAACTTTAAGAATGGAATTATTGTATGAACATTAAGGCACCTGCACATTGGGCTGTGTGTAGTTGAATGGGTTGAACGAGGGATGTCTGAACAGACGACGAACTTCATCCAACACTTTCTCGGATTCATCCTGGGGTTCGAAGCGCATCCCTTGGGGAAAAAAGAACAAAAAGAAAGGTTCGTAAGTGGCCATTGTCAACCTGTTGATATGGAGTAATCGATATCATGCACACACAGAAATAGTGTGCATCGATAACGTATTGAGACCATGTAACTTCGAACACATGTGCCATCCTTTTGAGATTCAGTAACTTCAAACAAATATTCCATCGTATTGATATCCAGCAACTTCAAATACATGTGCTAAAGGTATTGATGCCCAGTAACTTCAAACAAATATTCCAACGTATTGATACCCAGTAACTTCAGACAAATGTGCTAAAGGAATTGAGACCCGGTAACATCAAACAAATGTGCCAACGTATTAAGACCTAGTAACGTCAAATACATGTGCTAAATGTATTGAGACCCAGTAACTTCAAACAAACCTGCTAAAGGTATGGAGACCCAGTAAGTTTAAATAAACGCGCTAAAGGAGTTAAGACTCAGTAATATAAAACAAATGTGCCAACGTATTGAGACCCAGTAACTCCAATGTGCCACTTCAAACAAAAATATGTATCAACGTATTGAGGCAAAGTAACTTCAATCAAATGTGCCAAGGTATATGAGACCCAGTAACTTCAAATACATGTACTAAAGGTATAGAGTTAATTGAGGCCCAGTAATTTCAAACAAATGTGCCAACGTATGGAGATCCACTAACATCAAACAAGTGTACCATACCAACGTATTGAGACCCAGTAGGCCTAACTTCAAACAAACGTACTAAAAGTATTGGGATTGAGACCCAATAACTTCAAATACATGTGCTAAAGGTATTGAGGCACAGTGACTTCGAACAAGTGTACCAGCGTTATGAGAACCAGTACCTTCAAACAAACGTGCTAAAGGTATTGAGACACAGTACCTTCAAACAAACGTGCTAAAGGTATTGAGACCCAGTACCTTCAAACAAACGTGCTAAAGGTATTGAGACCCAGTCAGTTTTAAAAAACGCGCAAAAGGAGTTAAGACTCAGTAATATAAAACAAATGTGCCAACGTATTGAGATCCAGTAACTTCAATGTGCTACTTCCAACAAAATATATCAACGTATTGAGGCAAAGTAACTTCAAACAAATGGGCCATCGTTTTGAGATTCAGTAACTCCAAACAAATGATCCAACGTATTGAAACCCAGTAACTCCAAACATATATGCCACTCCAAACAAATATTCCAACGTATTGAGACACAATAACTTAAAACAAATAATCCATCGTATTGAGAACAGTAACTTCAAACAAATGTGCCAAAGGAATTGAGACCCTGTAACATCAAACAAGTGTAGCAACGTATTGAGACCCAGTAGGCTTAACTTCAAACAAACGTACTAAAGGTATTAAGATTAAGACCCAGTAACTTCAAATACATGTGCTAAAGTTATTGAGGCCCAGTAACTTCAAATACATGTGCTAAAGTTATTGAGGCCCAGTAACTTCAAATACATGTGCTAAAGTTATTGAGGCCCAGTACCTTCAAACAAACGTGCTAAAGTTATTGAGGCCCAGTACCTTCAAACAAACGTGCTAAAGTTATTGAGGCCCAGTACCTTCAAACAAACGTGCTAAAGGTATTGAGGCCCAGTACCTTCAAACAAACGTGCTAAAGTTATTGAGGCCCAGTACCTTCAAACAAACGTGCTAAAGTTATTGAGGCCCAGTACCTTCAAACAAACGTGCTAAAGTTATTGAGGCCCAGTACCTTCAAACAAACGTGCTAAAGTTATTGAGGCCCAGTACCTTCAAACAAACGTGCCAAAGGTGTTGAGACCCAATAAGTAACTTCAAAAAAATGTGTCATCGTTTCGAGATTCAGTAACTCCATACAATAAATATTCCAACGTACTGAGACACAGTAACTTCAAACACCCGACATGAACAACGCCTACACAAAACAATAACTTACCAGCAGATGCCAAAAAGAGGATGGGCGTCTCCGTTTCCTGAGCCTGGGGCATACGCACACACACACACACACACATACATACACACATATACACACATACACACACACACAGACACATAAACCAATAACTCACCAGCAGTGGCCATAAAGAGGATGGGCGTCTCCGCTTGCTGAGCTTTGGGCACGCTGCTACTTGCCATGTCCATGAGCGGTTGGAGATAGTTCTGGATTCCGGACACGTTGTTGAGCAGCGAGGATAGACCTGGGCGGACTTTCATACTGGACACCTGCACCATGTTTTTGATCCCCAGAGGGACGCTATTGTCCCAGGTATAGCTGGAAAAGATGGGGAGGGGGGAGGGAGAAATAAAAGGAATGAGGTTTATGGGAGGGAGGGAGAGCGTGAATGATAAGGTTTGTGGGAGAGACAAGTAGGTGAGAAGAGGTTGGTTTTTGTTTTTGTTGAGGAATGGGGCTTGTCGGAGAGAGAGAGAAAGAGAGAGAGAGGGGGGGGGGGGGGGAGAGAAGAGAGAGAGACAGAGAGAGAGAGAGAGAGAGAGAGAGAGAGAGACAGACAGAGAGAGAGAAAGAGAGAGAGAGGGGGGGGGGGCGAGAAGGAAAGATGAGGTTTGTGAGAGAATGAGGGAAAGTGATAGGGCGCGTGGGAGAGAGAAATAGGGGAGAAACGGTTGGGCTTCACTCCCAGGGCTCAATGTGAGAAACAATATATTCCTTAATCAAGCAATGTCAGTGCAAGATGGAAAGATGTCCCAGTTTTGAGAACCAGTTTTATTTTTAAGTATTTAGATATATCTAGCATCGAATAGTTTTGGTCAAAGTGAATGATATAACCATTATCAAAGATCGTGTATAGAAGATAGTTCACTCCGCCAAAAAAAAGTATCCGCGGACGTCTGCGCTTTGCTTCAATTGGCGTTGCAGTCTTTGTTTTGAAGTTTCTTTTTCGTTTCTCCAGAAGAAGAAGAATAGCACATCATATTTGTTTGACTTTGACTTTTTCTCGCAAGTAGAGTAACTCTGTTCGCAAAACGAGCATTTTTCGAAGAGGGCGCCCCCAAATTCTAAGGACACTTTTTTAATTGGCTCAAAGAGAGGAGTGAACCATCTTGTATGTAAGAGCTTTGCCCTTAGATGGTATTTGCAAACAAACTGTATTGATATCGTTAAATACTGCATGGCTTGGATAGTGCGTGAATCGGATATTGCGCAGCTTTGATTCTTTTTTCATGAAAGTGAATGGTTTTGATGCTTTTCCCCTTTTTTCATATTATAATGAGTTTTGAACTATATTAACAATGCCTTTATGTCCAACTGTGAATGCACGGGGTGATCTACAAAAAATATACATTTTTAAAAATCTGAATATCTCGCACAAAAATTGTACTAGAATTTTGTAATGTGGAAGAGACATTATTCACTCAAAAGGAATTAGTTTGACCTAAATTTCATTTAGAAAATACAACTTTATTTTGAAAACAAAACTGACCGTTAAAAAATACCCTTTAATGCAAATTGCCCAAATCACAAATCACAAATCCTCTAAGGAAAGTTGCGAATCGATTGGTTTGCCTTTTTCCCCTTTTTTCTTTCTAACATTTAATTTTTCCACCCCTGTGACATTTAAACAATATTTCATTTCTTTTAGAGACTTAAAAAAACAAATAACATTGCTATTTTAAAATTGGTCGATTTTAAGGACAAGGCGGCTATCCCGAACAATGCTGTTTTGAACAAATGGAAGGTAAAGTTTTTGGACCCTTGTTCAGTTTCTCTAAAAGACAAGGAGAGTTTTCTCTATAACCAAACAAATATACACACCAATGGAAGCACATTTCTCCTATAGGTGCCACTTTTGGTGTAGGTCGAGGTTTCTGAAAACTCACGAATTCTGGGTTAGCCTGTTTGTCCTTAAAAGCGACCAATTGTTAGAATCAGTGCTCGACATGCCCTCCATTGGATTCGAAACATTTTTCAAGCGTCATTTGTGGTGGTCAAGCAAAAGGACACGCCAAACCACAATAATAATAATAACAATAATAATAATAATAATAATAATAATAATAATAATAATAATAATAAAAATAATAATAATAATAATAATAATAATAATAATAATAATAATAATAATAATGTCCCCACTAGAAAGCAAGCTCTATGCGTTTTACACTATATTATTACCCCAGCAGACCATAGAACACTCAGAAACATTATCAGCTTCCCGGAAAGCATACAACAAACTGACCCGCCAAACCATGAAAGCTTAAAAACACAGCCACTATAAAAATTTTCATTACAAAGTGTCTTGTAGATATGACAGGGACTGGGTGATGTGCCCAATAAACAGCACAATTCGTAGAGTGGATATATAGATCCTGAAAGTGGAAGGTGAACTTGAGGTCTGCCACTAAATCAAATGTAATTGAGGAAATGTTCACGTTTTTCAAGACGACCCAGGAACCATGAACACATTGCCATACTCTGATCCATGTCAACCTCACTAACATGAAAATGATACTGTCATAGGTAAAGATCTGTGGGTGGTTGGCAGGTGCTCTGGTGTGGTTTGCTTCTTCTTTCCTATCGAACACCTATGGTCCTTATCTCCCCTTCTTCCTCTTTATGTTTGTTACTCTCTTGTAACACCTCTAATCTTCTGGCACTCAATTGACCTCATGCAATTGCGAGCGCCGTAAAACGTCTACTAAAATTTTAAAAAGATCTACATTGAGAAAGCGGACCGTTGAAGTGTTGGAAAGTCCTAGCCGCAGACATCGTCAGCGGAGAGATGTCACTTGGGACTCGCCTATTGAATTCTGTATCCTGGTGACATTTAAAGGGGTGCAGCAAACTGTGCGTTTTCGACCTGAAGAGGTCATTTTTTTCTTGGAAATTTAAATTCTGATTCTCTAAAGATTCAAACTGACGGAGCATCTCTACCCATGACATAGAAGAAATTCGTGAGGGCACCATAGCTTTATTCCCGTACTTTGAGTGAAACTTACGAAACGTCGGGGATGAAGAGTTGGAGGCAAGGTAATGCTCAATACACAAACGCTCTCTGCTCTTCTTTACTAAACTGAACTGTGATCTCAGCAGGCAACGGAAGCTTGTGGAATAACAATATCTGCAAACTGCTGTTGACTCGTTAGACTTCTGTAGCTTGCAATATTATGGCGCGATGGTTGCGATTTTGAGTGGTAGGCCTAATGTGAACTAGTGCGTCATGCTACATAAATGGGGACAAGGCAAAAAAATTGGTTGATATCTTTTGCGATATACTGAGCAAAACTATTCTGTGGAAGTATCTAAAATGAATACCAGACAAATTCCTTTTGGCTGTCAAATTTTGTGTTCAAATTTGAAACTCAAAGCAACAATGTGGAGGAAAATATTCACAAAAAATAGTTGTACAGTTTTGTTTTGTTGGTTGTTTTGTTTTGCTTTTGGATAACCCTGTATAAATCATGTGCTGAGTTGTATTTTTATGTCCGTAGACTATAACCCGTTCATCGTAAAAGTGGGTTTGTATGGTCTTTGTACAAGAATGCTGAGCTGTGTGTGAAATTTTTAGTAGAGATTCCTAAAATTCTTCTCGATTATCTCGATTGTGCATTAATTTGTCTGCCTTACCTTACCTTTTTGGGTTTTTTGTTTTTTGATTGTTTCAATTTTATTTTGCTTTTGTTTGCTTTTGTTTTTGTTTTTAAATTTTTTTTTTATAATGCACATTGAGCATCACGGACAATAAAACACTGCAAATTTTTATCGAGCTTTGTGCCCTACTCAACACCATTAGGGTCACCGGTGTCTGTTGGTGTAGCAGTTATGCGCTTCGCTGTTGTACACAGAAAAGGTAAGTTCAGTTCCCTCGTGAGAAGTGTTTTTATTGAGTGTGTGTGTGTGTGTGTATGTGTGTGTGTGTGTGTATGTGTGTGTGTGTGTATCTCTGTGTGTGTGTGTGTGTGTGTGT